TAAGAAAATACCCACGAGCAGTAGAAATCCATTAATTAATGCGTCCGAAGCTTATGTACTTACTCCCAACAATGACATTGAAGATCAAATGAGATAAACATATTACTGATTTCAAAATAACACATCAATGAACTATAATTCGAGGACTCTGCACACAACAAAGTTATGTATGAATATTTACTTCAAGCTTTATTTTTTTCCCAGGCACTTATAATCCATCCACCAAAGACCTGGTTTTTTTGTTAATGCGAAGACAATACTCCTGTTGTGTTGCACTCACTGACAATCTAGCAGATTTTTCCAACTGTGGACAGAAATGATTGTATATAAGTGAAAAGGCTGTTTTATACTACTGGGATTAACATTTATCAAGTGTATGTATAATCTCCAGCGAATATGTAAAGCATATCTTGCTACTACCTGTAAATTGTGATAGAATTATATGGTTCTATTTCTGTAACAATTTGATGATGCCTGTAAACTGGTGTCCCTCATGTACAGTACTATGAGAATATATTTATTTATTTATATATCCTAATCTCTTCACGCAAGCTTTTAGAGGTATTTATCCTATCGCCTCAAATGACTCACCATTTGCTGTCACTTAAAAAGTAAAAATGAATTTACCGGAGGCAGCGTGCTTACGGTTTCTAGATGTCATAATGCACCATGAGGAAAAAGCTCTATTCATAGGGTTATAGCAATTAGATCCGCGATATAAATCCGAAACACAACGACTACGATTCACAATCACAGAACATTCTACTTTGCTACCTAACCGTCTAACCGTATCAACAGACATCTCGCCAAGAAAAAGAAGACCAATGGTTCAAGGAAAATTTATTAAAACCTTTCTTAAAAATCATGGGCAACCGTGTTTATAACCACGGAGAAATCACAAGCATCCGAAAAATAGGAATTTCATTATTTGAATTGAAACAAGCAATTTATAGCCAGCCAATTTTTTCACCCCGAAAAATAATCAGCTTCTCAGCTTGTTGTAACTTCGAAAAAACCACAGATTGTAGGCCAATATCCGAAACGTTATTCTTGCTAGTTAAATTCTTACCGAACACTCACCAGATCATTGTATGTTATCCGCTTTTCAAATCGTTTTGAAACAAATAAAATGGTTGTTAACACCACGTTTATTACAGGCAGTCCTAGTTCGTGCGTTTGGATCTAGTACACTAGGCGTCAACAATCATTTAGGGATTTCCTATTGCTTCCTAATTTTGCTTCCAAAAGTACATACAAACACCACACATTCATACTTCACATGTGGCTCATTCTTGCTTGATTTTGATTCTCTCACAATATATCTGATTTTTTAGCTGACAACAGACAACTTGTCGAAAAGCGTCAAAGCTTTTTCAACATCATCCCAGGTTCTAAATTCTTCAGGTTTAATTTGCTCTTCGAAAACTTTGCCAATATCAACTCTGATCGTATTTTCCTCACCAGATTGACTCGTAGATTGTTGCTGTAAACATGAATGTGACAGACATTGTTTTTTCCAGATTTCTGCATGTTAAGTAAACAACTTAACCAGCAACAATAACGGCAATCAACGAATGAACTGGAAACAATTGCTTCCGCCAACCAAACATGTTCATGTGCATAATTTCCAAAACTTCTACACAGTACTAATTCATTAATAGTGGAAAAACAACTAAAACCCTGAAACCATACATGAGTGCAACGTATGAAACAATAACAATGAAATGAACTGACCTGGTGGTGAAAACTTTCGAAACAAACGAAATAACTAATTTTAACAGAAACGGAAACAATAATGAAGTGAAACGCAACATTTGTGAACAATGTGCATCAAGATAAGTTGTGAATAACTGCTGGATAAACGGAAAAACCAATGTGTAAACGAACAGCTACGGAACTGCAACCCAACATGGCCGACTAACATGGACGAAAATGACCTTGGAGCGTCTCACTCCATCAATGACCTTGTACGTGACGTTTAATTTCTGTCCCGTATCATTATTGAATTGAACAGTAGTCCTCCAGGTTCCGCGGGAAAATCGACTTCTTTCGTTTTCAACCCGTATGTAGTGGTTCAAATTTGAAAGAAAGCGTCAGTTCAAAAAACGGTGGACGCTGAACTGTAATAGCCTAGCTCTTTGTACCTACATGTATATAATTTTTGGACTTCTGTTGGTGTAATTCAGTGTCAATTATAAAGTGCTTTTCTCAAGTCGTGTTCTGCTTCTCCGCTCTACTCTGCGTGCTTGACCTGTGTAATTGTTTGTGTTCTATTACACCGTAGTTGTAGGCATACGATAACCAACCAATATTGAGGTAAGTACAACGTTTACAAGGGATAGTAAGCTGTTTTAGAAAAGTAAAGGTGATAAGGTGAATCATTAAAGTGTAATGGAATAGGTAAGTGCAATGTATCATTAACAAATACATTCATAAAGGAAATGCAATGGGAGACTACAATCCCCAGGCTGACAAAGTTCATTTGCAATGTATTATGCTACCCATATAGGTCTTACTATCATGATGTCCACTTTTGTTTTAATACAATTATCCACAAGCCGGTTGTTTTTATTTCATATCATTTTGTGTATTTGGTGCACAACCGTACGCTATAGAGAATAGGAATAGAATAAGTCGAATCAAATTCATAAAGAGCTATAAAATGTTAGGTTTAATGGAATATAATGAGCAAGTGAAGACGTAATTAGAAAATGAATGAGATGAGACACTGTTAAGTGATATTCGAAGATACGACAAAGGAAAGCATGTTAATTTATAAGATGCCCCATAAATCTGTGCAGAGCCCACGTGGTCGCATCTCAGTAATAGGCTAACCAAATGGTATATGTTTAAAAGTAGAAGCATGATCTGTCTAGGCGATCATTATTATCTTTTTCAAGATAAAGATTCAAGCCCTCATAGAAATCTCGAGTCGTCAAATTGCATATTGCTGTTCCTGCAGAATGGGGCGATTCACCTTAGTGTCTGCCTCCATAACCACTGATGAGCATGCGCCACCCTCCCTTCTTTTATGATGTTAGGCTCTGATTGTTATGGCTACAGCAAATATATTGCTTGGTTCCAGACACGTTCGTACCTCACATTCCATCTCCCTAGCTTTCTTAGTGAGTGCTTCCAATAGATCTCCACGTACAGATTTATGAACATATTATATATGTGTGCATGCGTCCTAATGAACAGATTAGTTTATAAGATGTTTAACCCTTAAAGAGTGAGAAGAATAGGTTTTGTGAATTGTGGAGCAAGATTCAGCAGAACACTATAGTTAGAGTTCAATGTAGATAGTATGAACTGAAGGTAAGGTCGGTTGGCAGGACTTATCGTACTAAATCATCATGACAGTCTTTTATATAGTTAACATTTGACATCTCAAAGTAACCTGTCTACACATATTATAAAAAGATATTAACACAGAACCAACAGAATTTTAACATTTGGTTAACAATACTGCAGTTTGTGTATACTGAAGAAGCGCAGTTAGTCTTATAGGGAGCCGTAAAGTAAATCAAACTATACATGATAAGAGTATAATCAATATTATAATTCGTATTATAAAAGAATACATTAAGCTCAGTAATTGAGTGTTATAAGGGAAACAAGCGTGGTAAAGCAAGAAAACATTTGCTGCATAAATATTTTAATCAATTTAAGTATTGTAATGACAATCAAATATCAAGAATTGACTATGCATAATTACTAGGTATCATTATATATTAGTATTGGGACTAGTGTGCTTTCCGTAGTTAAATATTGAAATGTCATTGTCTCCCCACTCTACCAGCAGTTGTGATCTTTTAGACGGGCTAGGGTGGACATGTTAATATGTCTTTCTAGGCTCCTTTTAAAACTGTCAGGCTTTTCACAGGATCTAATCTCAGAGGGTAGCTGGTTCCAAAGTTTGCAATATTTAATGGTGAAAAAGTTAGCTCTAGTGGTGAGTTTATGGGTGTTAACCTTGAGAAGGTAGTCATGGTTGCGTAGTTCATACGATTTAAGATTAGCCCACGTTATGGATGAGTTACTGCTACAGTGCTTTCTTATAACTTTGAATAAGAGAAATAAGTTGCACTTCACTCTCCTTAACCATAAGGGTTCTAAGTCCAGTCGAATACACCTATCAAGGTATTCTATTTGCTGATCATAGCCTACTATGCGTTTCGTCAGGAATCTTTGGACACTTTCAACTTTCCTCCTGTCTGCTGATTTAAAGCTACTGTATAAGTGGGCACAGTATCCAAGTTTGGGGCGAATACATATCTTATATATAGCCAATCTGGCTTCTGGAGTGTAAAAGTTGCGTAGCACAAAGCCGGTGAGACGTTTACAATCAGATACCACCTTATCTGCATGTTCAGTAAAGGTAAGATCTGAGTATGTTACACCGAGATCTGTGACGGTGTTCGTGTTTGAAACAAGGTCACCGTACATGTATAGACTTATGCTAGGTTTCCAACGTCCGAAGTATGTTAACCCAGACTTAGCTGGATTGAACGTCAACTGCCACTTTTCACTCCAGTTACACAGACTATTTAGGTCTTGTTGGATTTTACTAGCAATATTCATATCATTTTAGTCAAAATCATATACAACTTTGAGGTCATCTGCAAAGAGGTACGGCTTGCCATACTTGATCACAGAGACAATATCATTTATGAATACAATGAATAGGGTAGGATCAAGAACGCTACCTTGTATCACGCCGCTGGTTATTTGCTTGGATGTAGATAAGTGATTGTTGATTTTAACTAACTGTTCTCTTCCTGTTAGAAAGAAAGTTATCCACTCGAGTAGCCTTCCACTTAATCTATAAGAAGAAGCTTATAGTAAAGCGTTAAGTTTAGTCTCAGGCGTCTTAGCCATAGTGTTTCTAGTCCTAGGGTATCACATCTAGTGGAGTAGTTCGTACCATTTTCGGTTCCGAGTAATTTTAACGTGAATTACCTCTGCACTCCCTCGACTTTCAATTTGTCCTCTATGTGTATACTACTATACATGAATGAACCGTTATCAAATAAAGGACGCACGCAAACCTTGTACAACAGAATTCTAGACTCATTTCTGTAGAAATTCCTGAGTAGATAGCCAACAAGTCTGCGTGACTTTGACACTTGTTTGGAAATATGTTCAGAAAATGATAAATCATGTGAATATTTCAGTCCTAGGTCCAGTACAGATTCCAGTCGTAGAAGTGCATGACCTTGAATTGTCAGGTCAAGTTCTAAATTGTTGCAATCTTTGCAGAGCCAGCCACAGTTTTCGACATTAAATTGGAGTTGCCAGGTGTCACACCATCTATCCATTTTTTCTAATTCTTGCTGTATGTCGTTTACTGTTATTCCAAGATCTGTGTTCTTGTATTTATACGTCACTTTTAAGTCATCTGCATATAGTACTGGTTTACCTACACTTAAGCATTCGCAAATACTGTTTATATATATTATGAATAGGAGTGGGCCTAATACACTTCCCTGGACTAGACCACTACTTACTGGTTTAGGCCTTGAGATTATCGAGGCAACTTTCGTTGTCTGACTTCAGTCACAGAGAAATGATTTTATCCAGCCCAGGAGAGGGTCACATATCCCTAGTGAGCATAATCTGCTGACTAGCAGATTATGGGGAACTCTGTCGAAGGCTTTTGTTATATCGAAATATAGCACAATTACTAGTTCTCTGTTGTCCCTACTTCGTGTAACTTCGTCGAAGAAGTCTATGTGACAGGTTACACATGATCTCTTTTTGAGGAATCCGTGTTGTGATGGATTGATAAGTTCATGTTCTAGTAAGTTGTCTGACACTTGGTCTTTAAACACTTTCTCCATTATTCGTGATATTACCGGTGTTATATTGATAGGTCTATAGTTGCATGCACTGGTTTTGGCCCCTGATTTGTGCTTAGGTAATATGTATGTGGTTTTCCGCACTTCAGGATAAGTTCCAGTTTCCAGTGAGAGAGTAAATATTCTAAGTAACAAGACTACCATTTTCGTGCTACCATTTTTGTATATGACAGATGGTATGTCGTCTGTTCCAGTACTACCATTAGACTTCAATGTCTTAATCGCTGAGTCTATATTTTGTATATTAAAGTCTATTTCGCCTGATTTGTGGTTACTTTTGCAGGTCATTTGGAAATTTTGGGTCGGGTGCACTCTGGCGTCATTGCAAAACCACTCATTGAGGAATTCACTTATAACCTGGGGATCATTGTATATTATACCCTTATGTTCCAAGCTGCTTGCATTATTATCTTTACTGCTTTTTAGACGTTTCTGCAATATCCTACAAAGTTCCTGAGTTTTGGAGTTGCCCACAAGCGCTTTATTTTCTTCAAGTTGTGACCTCATTTTGTGTTTCTCTTCAAGCAGTTTAAGAGTTTCATGTATTTGGTTTAACGCATTAAATTCCTTAAATACATGGTATTTCCTTTCCAATTTCTTTAGGTTTAGTCGCGTTTTGCGATCTATAAATGGAGTTGGTGTCTTTAGAGCAGATTTTAGGGGTGCTATTGTGTCTCTTGCTGAGCCAATTGTTTTGTAGAAAATCTCAAGTGATACTTCTAAGTTATTGTTGATGAAGTATTCTTCCCAGTCAGAACTTCTCAACAGATCTGATAGGAATTCCCAATCAGCATTCTTATAGTCCCTATATTGATAGTGCACAGGGGAGTTTTCAGGTGTGTATTTAGTTGTTAGTCGGAGGGGTAGCGTGCAGCACAATATGTTGTGATCACTGTGATCGAGTTTATTTCCCACCTCTATCGAGATGGGCTCTATTTTACAACAGAGAATTAAGTCAAGAGTGTTTTCATTTCTTGTCGGGAGGCGTATGCACTGCTTCCATCCGCCTACGTCTATAGCTTGTAGTAGCTCGTCATGGATTCTAGGTCCAGTACATGTATCCCAGTTTACTCCAGGTAAGTTGAAATCGCCACAGACTACTTTGTAGTCGAAGTCCAGCGTAGCTACATGCTCCGGTATTTCTCCAATAGTGATATCAGCCATTTCAGGGCTATTAGGGGGTTTGTATATACATCCCGCGAGAATTTTATTTTCGTTTGTGTGGATGCTTATCCACTTACATTCTGGGAGTTTGTCAGTATTTGAGTTATTGAAAGTATTGGAGTTGGTGGATGTAGAGGCATGTATTACGCAACCGCCTCCTCTTTTATCAACTCTATCGTTCTTTTAGATGTCGTAGTTGTCTATTACTAGCTTTGTGTCAGGTATATCAGTAGTAAGCCAGGTTTCAGTCACCATTAATAGTGTTGGCCGTTCTATGTATGCTAGGCAGCGAAGCGATGTTATTTTGTGGTGAGAGATGGTTGCTAGCCAAATTGGTAGACAGTAATTCACGTCAATGTTTATGTCTCAAATATTAGTCATGTGAAAACAAGGTCAAAGATGGACAGCAGACTTTGCGTAGGCGGATACAATTAGCAGATAGATGATATGACACTCAAGAGACAACAACAAAGAGATGAAAGATTAACTTTCAGTGAGAAACAACCAATTAGAAAACTGTGTTTGTCAGCTAACAATTATCTATTATAATGTACACGAAAATCTATAAATATGTGTTGATTTCCTTAATAAACAATCTGTTGCCTGACTCTTGCCTTCTGTCGTTACAATTTTATTAAGGAGAAATCTACCATTCAGTAGGATAATCGTTAGTAAACCAGAGTTATTGGAGGAGAGGTTAACATGGTTACTTGTTACTATCCCTACGTTATGTTTGGAGGGGCTCTGAGGTGAGACAGAGTCAGTGTGTGTACTATTTCCTGGATGAATTGTGCAGCGAGTGGGGCTAGTGTTTGCTGCAGCCGAAAATAATCCTGTTGCATGTTTTGACTTTTAGCATCCATAGGTGGGTATCTGAGTTCATTTACTGGTGATATATAGTTTGCTTGACCTAGGTACCCTGTGTTTAGATTACCTTGGTAGTTGTACCTCATGGGTCTTTCATAGTCGTATGCATATTGACTCACATCACAGTGTATATTTTACCCAGAAAGCTCTCAGGATGTTCGCGTTTACTTTGAAATTCAAAGATAACGTTGAGTTGCTCACTTAGGTAGTAGCAACAGGAGATTACCTTCAGGGGGAACTACTTAACGTCAGACTTGTTTTCTGTACCACTCTCATCAATTTTGCAACGGTCATAGGAATTAACAGCCTCATCTAACTTTCTTTTACATCGGAAACTGAAATTGACAGTCTGACATTTTGAAGGATTTAGTTTAAAACATTTTCTGACTCCTGATAGAGAGCTGTTCATCTTAGTACAGTGTAGATGCGAATTAAAAGACTGGAATGGTTAGTCCACGCACTTGACATATTTCATTTCGTATGCGTATGTACATTAAGTTCGTCAAACAAAAATACAATTGGTAGTGGACGACAATAATGGAGAAAGTGTTGTGATGTAAGACTGCAGCTGCATCTAAAGTACTTCTACTTTGTTTATAGGCGAATTATTTGAGATCATTAAAGGCTTTAAGTGAGGGTTGAAGAATAAGTAAGAGTAACTTTTCCATAGCTTTTAGGAAAGGGTAGGTAATAGCAATAGGTCTAAATTTAAAGCATGTTCTATTAGGCGACTTAGGTATAGGTACAATTTTAAAGTTCTTCCAAACGTCCGGCACAACATTTCTGGAAAAAGATTCATTAAATATGTGACAGGATATCTGCACATTTTTTAAGAATAAGGCTAGGGAAACAATCTGGAATTAGGCTACAAGAAGGGTTCAACGACTAGAGATAATTTAGAACGTCATTTGTATCGAAGCCAAGGAAGAAACTCTTATTAACACTTGTGACCCCAGAAACCTTGGCATTTGTGGGAGAATGTATTAATGACTTGTTTACCGTACACACATCAAATGAATAGGAAATACTGGAGGTAATTAGATGCATAAAGGCGTGACTTATTTAATATTCATAAAGTAGATATGCAAACACCGCAGTTGTTGATCATAGAAATGATGGATATCAGATGATTCAACGGCATATTAGAAATAGATGAAAGTTGTGTCTTTGCTCACTGTAAAGTGAACAGTCTATTTGATGATGTCACTGCATATTAACAGATTAGTGAAGTAGCTATCAAGCCCAAGTTATTACATTTACTTGTACTTCATAATTGGCGTTTAACAGTATACAGACTTGCAACTGGCCAGATAAGGCGATTTTAGCGTATCGAACAGTACAGAATTATTATTCAACTTGCCAAATCCTGCTTAGTTTTTACCATGTGCTACTGTATAGAAACAGACACGAAACCTTACGAAGGGCTAAAGTAACAGTCTCATAGTACTATAGTAAATCTCCATCCCACTAACTAAGCTTAACATGCATTGATCCGAATTCACTTATTACAAAAGCACATAGTATAGCGACGCAGTGAAAAAGTCTAGAGGAAGTAGAATTGAAGAGTATATTAAACATTCCATTAATTTATAAAAAAAAATCCCGATGAAGAGTATTAACGTTAGTTTGACCGAATGATATTTCCTCTGGTTTCATATTCGACAACCTCCGTATACCTGAAAAAAATAAAGCACATGTAATGACTAGCACAACATGAAGTTATGAAAGATAATTCTACATATTAGCACACACTGTGAATACACTGATTCTGTTAATACTAAGTAATATCTCATGCAAATAAATGTATTTGTAGTTTACAGCTGGTTTTTACATTGACACTATAAGCATCAATAGACCTCAGTTGTTTTCCAGTATTAGAGGATTATACGCAAATATCAAGACAATCTTTGAAACTTCCATACTCTCATCAACCTTACTTGCAGATCAACTTCACACCAAATACGTTTACATTAAATGAGGTATTGCAAATGTGTAACTTAGAAATCGATCCATAATCTCAGTAATGTCTAATGAGTATAGTTTTATGAATCCTACAGAAATTATACTCTCACATTAAGGAATCTGTAGCCATCAAATATGAGCTGAACATGCTTCAACTCTAAATAGCTATGCACAGTGTTAGCAGCATAGAGAAACGTTGAAAATATTGTAAGATACGCAGACCTGTTGTGTTGATGAGGATAACAATGCCATATAATGCAATCTAGATATTCGGTTGTGACACTGCATCTGTACTGCTTCATGTTAATGGGAAATTCAGGAAAAATCCATCACCACTATTGGTGATCAAAAACATTGCGGCAGTAAGTTTACAGTGCCAGCGAGAATGGCATAACAGACAGTAGATTGATAGTAATGGAGGTGACCAGATTCAGTTCTCATAATCGACACAATCCATGTGTATAATAATACTTCACACTGAATTAATGCACTAAGTGACACAGTAAGGAAATTTAAACGAGTGATTGCCTTCTCCACTGCACTGCACTTACAATAATCATGACAACCACCTACGTTTGCCAGCCAAGCAGTCAGCTTAGCAATGGCACAATATTAATAAAGTTGAGATTTTTTTATGCATTGAGTCCATATAACTCTTATTACGCTACACCAAACAGTGCAAATATACATGAAATACACTTAGAAATAACCTCTCAACTTACGAAAATTCCTGTCCAAACACACATACGGTGAGACACATCTACATGATTACTTCTATTCCCACAGAAGGTTCTGTTAGCATTTACAGGTGATTTCCAAGTACTGATAGAATTCTTTTGCCAAAATGGACTCTTCTTCACACGAAAATAGGCTGAATTAATATCCAGAGACGTGAAGTCTCCACTGAATGATACCATGCCGAAAGGTGCAGCATCTAAATAAAGTAGACATTACCCTTCAACCATCCTATCTTCTTCATTTTAGCGATATTTTGCTACAGTTCGCCTGAAACACTGATCGTTGTAACCAATATGCTAGGGGTGTCGCAATCAGATTACATGACGCGGACACCAAAATAACTGGCCAGAAAATGGGAATTCCCATCAATCCAGATAATATATAACACAATTTTATTAAAAATTATTGACAAAAAAATTTCCAAGTGAAATTTTAACGGCTATTCTAGAACGTGACATTTAACGTCTACCTGATACGGCCTGGGTCAGACAATGAGTGCATTTATATATATATCAAATATTTAGCTCTTCAAACATTATTAACTTGTAGACAATCTATTATTTGACATTATATC